ATGAAAAAAGAGAGCCAACGTGGTTCTCAGGTTTCACTTACCCACACAGCTCAGAGGGAATGAATGACTTAGCATAAGGATACTTTGCAACCTTATTTAATAAAACACCCAGCAGAAAGCCTCTAGGCACACGTAATTACACTGCACCTTCAGGTCAAGTGAATGATGTGATAAAACACAGGCCTGCACGCTCACTGGCAATAGGCTAAGGACTTCTGAGCAAGGGATAAGTAATAAGGTCATAATCCTGCAGTTCTGAATTTCTAGGGGGAAAGAAGGCCAGCGAAGGTAATAGTAATCAAACTGCTACATACTGGAAACTATTCCAGGCACTCTACATATTTTATCTAAAACTCACCAACAGCCTTGTAAGACTGGTATCATCAATCCCATTTTAAGTATGTGGAACAAAGAACAAAGAGGCTAAGCAACTTGCAGGAAGGTTTACACAGCCAAGAAGTGATGCAAACTGGTCAGGCTTCAGATGCCACAGAATTCAAGGTAAGCATAGCTTCCCTGGGTTTCACCAACATTCTCTCAAATCATGGCCAGCGCAAGTCCCCAGAAGCCCAGCTCTCCTTCCGTATGCTTGCTTTTGCTTTCCACCTCAAAGAGATGTCACACCCTGTAACTCACAATACCGCTTTGAAAGCAGTGATCACTATGAGAATACTGTGTCTTCATTTTACATGGAGGAAACTCAAACCAGGGCTCAATTTCTCTCCAACAGTGCTCTTCGAAATAGCCTGAAGTATGAGGTAGGGGATTCGGAAGAACCAAAAAGGTAAGGAATGCAAAGGTGGGATATCAAAAAGTTTAGACGAAAGCTTTAAAAGTAGAAACATATTGGGCCAGCGATTTAGCTCAGTGGTTCCGCCGCTCGCCTTGCAGGCGCAAGGATCCGAGTTTGATCCCTGGTACCAAAACAAACAAACAAACAAAAGTAGAAACATATGAAACCCAAGGGTCGGCGGGTACGTAACCCACTTACGTATCTTTGGCAATGTGTCCCTACACAAATACCCTTCTCCCGAAGCCTGGTACGCAGAGGGACCCTGGGAGCTGCACACACTGTCCTGCCCTGGCCCTTCCCTGAAAGGCGCTCTCGGGGGCCGGCTGGGACGTCCACGAGCGTTTTGGTGCAGCGGGCGGCAGGAGAATGGATCCGGCTCCCGGGTTCTGCCAAGAAAGACGTGGCGAGAGACCTTGTCCCCTGCCGCGGCGTCACTGCGTTTCTGCGCACCCTCGACAAAGAGTCCTGACAGGTCCAGCTCGGGCTGGGCCATTTTTCCCAGGCCACGAGGGGAAAGGGGCGAGGCCCCGTGGCCCCAGAGTCCACTCCAGTCCCCAGTTCCCGGCGCCCTCCTCTCGGTCTTCCTTTGAATAAAGCGGCTCCATCCGCCCCCTCGACCGAGCCGGGTGCCTCAGGCCCTCTCTATCCGCACCTCCCTGAGCAGCCCCGCAGGGCGAGTCGAACCCACACTGGCCCTGAGACGGCCCGGGCCGCCACGCGCCCCTCTCGTTCTCCGCGAGCGCAGCGCCGTGGCCGCTGACCTCGCCTTCCCCCGGGCTCACCGACTCCGGAATCGCCTGACACGCAGTCCTGGGGTCGAGGACTCCATAGCAAGGCGCCAGGGCCGGCGCCGCGAGCCAAGCCCCTGCCCGCCAGTGATTGGCCGACAGGACGAGGGCCGTACATCGCTATTGGTAGGTTCACTACAGCTATCAGAGTGCGTGGCAACCCAGCGGATACCGAGGCTCCGCCCATCTAGAGAGGGGAGGCGGGGAGGCGGGGAGGCGGGGACGCGGGG